ACACGAAAAATACATTATTTGCAACTTGAAACAATCTGACAAATAAAATCTTCTGGGGAGCAGAAATTTTGAACGACTTTGTGCTGTGCACATTATGGCTGATTTTTGTGTTGTTGTCGAAATGTTGCATATTGAAGTCAGCAGACCCTTCTACCCCTACCAATTGTATGTCTTAGGATTTAGTTCTACATAATATAGTGAAATGCTAATTTTCATAAGGATAATAAGCTAGTATAATAAGCAGTAGCCTCAATATTCAGCAAGTTAAAGACTAAATGTTCTATTAGCTTCTTGACATGTGCTTTACTGATTTACAGTAACACTAAGTCGGGGGAATGGGAGATGAGCGGGCTAACCTGCAGTTCATTCCATACCGCTAAGACTTCAAATCTTTGCATCTTCTAAGATCGACTTGACATGCGTGATCGCGCTAATGTGGATGATGAATCTTTTTTTTGAGTTACAAAGCAGACAGATCTTTGACAAACATAAATTTGCGACAAATTATTTTTAAGAATATATATTTGCAAGTAGTAGATCTTTTTTTTTAGATAAACGCAAAAGGCTGGAATTATTCTTTGAATTTGCTTTTTCCTGCATCAAGTTTTAAGGACAGAATCTTACGCTCGTTTCATTTTCTCTCAGAATAAAGAAGTATTCTCTTAATGTGACTCGACATATGAATGTCATTCTTTGCTCACCCGAAGTAAAAGAGAATATGAATTGTTGCAAGAATCTTCACTGTATTGGAAACAAAAAGATAAAAATAAGCAACAATAAAAGTGTCATAAATTATAAATAGAAAAAAACCTACCCGCGCATGCTAACCACGGTTTGCTTCGAATCCAGTCAATACCACGTTGAGGTTTTTGTTTGAAACAAAATGCACTAACAAGTGCGTATATTGATAATGTTGTGAAGCTAACAACAAAGTTTGGAGTAAATCTTTCCGCATTCTCTCCGAGGCCATCCTGAAACATTTTCTAATGATTGGTGCTATGCAAACAAGTACATATGTTTGCTAAAGGTATGTTTTTTTGTGAAATATGAAATTACTAATTATTCATGCTCTATCCGTGCCTC